TTCACTGTCTGTATAATCCCAGTGTAGAATATCCTGCAGTAAAAACAATTAGGTTCACTTCACTGTCTGAATAATCCCAGTGTAGAATATCCTGCAGTAAAAACATTTAGGCTAACTTCACTGCCTGTATAATCCCAGTGTAGACTATCCTGTAGTAAAAACATTTAGGTTCACTTCACTGTCTGAATAATCCCAGTGTAGAATATCCTGCAGTAAAAACATTTAGGTTGTAGTGAGTCACGTGAGGTACGTGTCACTTGTTGTATGACAAATATATGAATTATATATGCATACAATATTCACGAGTTCTTCATTTTTCTGACTGTGTAATGCCGTGCATTGAATTTAAAGGAATGCGAACGAGAGACGTTGTTTATCTTTGACCCATCAAATGAATGGAATCATTTATTTTCAGAATCAAAGTTTAACATCAAACATTTACATTAATTTGGCAAAATATGAAAATAATAACAGACAGTTTCACAGAAAATGAACTTCAAATCACTCGGCGGTGATTTGAGGACTTTGCTTCAGATATTTCTAAAAATATCTGTACTGATTTATGAGAGAGAAGAGTTTAAGATGAAAGGAGATTATCTTACAGAGAACTGTGTGAGGGAATTTAATCTGTTTGACCAGAAGTTGCACGCTCCCATCAGGTATCTCAGCTTTGCCCACGGTACACTTGGTCGAAGAAGTCTTTACCTGGTTTGACGATGGATCAGCTCAGTAAGCATCCTTCAGACTGTTTCAGCGCCTCCGTTAAGAACAGCTAAAAATCCTCGGAGAGTCGTGCGTGGTTAGCTCAAAACAGAATTATAATCCCAAACGTCCCTGGTTCTTCATAACTCCAAACTCTTCATAACTCTTGGACTCTTCATTGCTCTGAAGCTTTCAGAACCAGCTGCACTCTCAATCAGCTCTCATTCCAACATCTCTCAGAACTCTCATTCTCTTGGAATTCTGAAAATCTCGAATTCTGACTTGAACTGGGAAGTTGTCACATTTTTAAATGAGTTTACTTCCTGTTCAATTTAGAGCTTTCTGATTCGTGGAAGGACCAGAAAGAGGAGTGGTTTTGACGTAAGGTGTTTATCAACAGTCGAGGTCAGAGAATGAAACTTGTTTAACATACAGAAAAGATTATTGCAGAAGCAGCAGACTTTTTGGAGTCTACTCTTGGTAATCTTCTGAAAAAGTTTAAACATGACATTTCTTCTTCAGTAAACATTTAGCTGACCGAAGCCTCAACTTTCACACACTTACGACTTGCTCATTTCAGACAGAAAATCAAGAAAGGCATATTCAGGTGATTTCTTCTCTGAATGAGGAATAAAAATCATTACTTACTGTTTATGTAAAATAAAAATGAGTAGTTCTTTTCAACCTGTAAAGCATTGAGTGAACTAACACAATTTGATTATCAAAACATTTGTAAAACAGTAATGATTATAGAGGATTGTCTTTTCTGCTTGATTAATTCAAGAAAGAAAGTTCATCAGATGGCCCAGACTTATTCAGATCAATGAAAATAACAGTCTCTGTCCATCTGGTAGATTTGAGGTCATCTGGTTCACTACAGTCCCCCCTTTGGAAATCATCACCTGTCCATGGGGATGAATTCCAACCGTGAACTTAGACCTTCAAATGTCCTTGAGCTTGATGTAATCCAGCAAGGAAGACCAAAGTCAGAAGTAATCCTTCAAGGAAGACTAAAGTCAGAAGTAATCCAGCAAGGAAACAAAGTCAAGGTAATTCCACAATGTTCTTGGTATTCCATTGTGTTGATTATAATCCCATATCGTCTCGATAATCCCATTGTAGCAATGCTTTAACCCCTTGGAAACAGAGTCTGTAATCCATTGGAAAAAGTCATATAATCCACAACGGTAAATCCACA